GTGCCAAACTTTTTCTTAAAGGGCCAGATAGTAAGTACTTCAGGCTATGTAGGTTTAGTGGCATAATCAAGGGTATTATGTAAGTCACTTAGATAACCATCTAAACATGTAACCATTTAAAAATGTAAAATCCTTTCTGAGCTGGATTTGGCCTACTGGCCATAGTTTACAAACCCCTGTCCTAGAGCATCAGCAATGCTGCATTTTATAATTTATAGTTTTGGTCATAAAATAGATATTAGTGATATTTTTGTTTTAATTTGTATGTGGTATCTTTTAATGAAATCTATTTATGCTAGTGTTGCCTCAGTTATTTGGAAAAGTCATTGGTCAGTTAATTCAGTTCTTATTTAGTGCCTATTTAAGAATTTTCTAGCCATTATATACTTGCTAGCAGTATGGAATCTTGGTGCAGCTCTTTTTGCTCTCATTATTGTCCTAACTTATTTTTTTTATATCTTACACAACTTTCATTCTTTAAATCCAAACAAAATGAAATGTGTTGTGATTTTGAGAATTTTTATTTCTTTTTGTTTCTGGTTTGGTTTAGGGTTAGTAAGTTGGTAGATTCCAGTATAGATATGCAAATCATCAAGCTTCCCTCCTTCCATTCTCACCCGCTGGTTAGCAGAGTTCCTGTTAATAGAATTAAACGTCTTAATTCAAGGATTTTCTCAATACAGTCCAGCCTACCAATCCAACCAAACACTGGGGTGAGCAAATATTTCAAATGCATGCAAGAAAGCAGATTTTTATTTCATTCTTGGAATCATGATATTATTCTGTCAAGAAGTATATATCAACCTTTAATAGGGGCTTAAGAAAAAATGTGCAGATTTTAGGCATAAAAGATTGGCTCTGCTGGGTTTCAGCAGTACCATGCTCTTTGCTCCACTTCAAAGTCAGAATGCTGGTGTTTTCTGACTAGGATCAACACAATGGAAGGGAGTATCAGAAAAGATCTAGAAAAGGTCGTGGCCATTCCTTTCACCAGGAAGAAGAAAGAATAAAAGCATTAAATCTACTGGCCAAAAACCATACTTAATCTTTCTTTTTAATTTTTCACTGTGAAACAGATCATGTATTGTACCACCTGGAATTCAAATTTTTAAAAATATATTCTTATGAAGTACATGGACATTCTTTTAATGCTTAAAAAAAGAATATTGATATGCATTTTATATAGTGGTCTTGATTTAGCTATCTATAAGGTATGTTGCAAAATAATGAGACTGGTTTTCATGGGTTAGTGAAGAGATTAATCTCACCGTTTCATAGTCTTAAATCACCTATTCAAGGGGAAGCTGCCATTCATGGAGCCTCCAAGTTGGAAAGGGTCTTGGGGGTCATCTAGGCCAGTGCCTGTCTTATACAGGAGGCTCTTCTCCAACCCCCAGGAAGGATCTATCCGGCCTCTACTTGGCCAGGCTTTGCTTTAGCAAACAGTTCTGGAACCTTCCCAGGAAGTATTTCTCAGAGCACCACCTCTGATGAGTTATTAGCAGTGCCTTTTAATGAATGTTTGAGGGGAAAGGAGCTTCCATCATGTCAAATGTGGGAAACTTGGGGGGTGCTTGGTAGAGACTTTCAGGGATTTTTTGGTATTTTGAGAACAAGGAACACTGGCACCTGAGGCTTAAAGGCCCCGCTGCCTGCCCCAGCTAGTGCAGCACTACAGACAAGTTGGGTGGGAGCATATGCAGTGCCCACCTCCACAGTCTGCTGCCTCTGGGCCCAGCACTGGATCTTGGGATCTCAGTGCACACGACTACACACTTTGACATTTACTGTCAATGCCACAGGGACATCTCTGTACGTGTCCTGCATACTTACACAAGTATACCTGTAGGATACATTACTAGAAGTAAAATTTCTAGATTAAAGACTGTGTGAATATCAAATTAATTTTATTCATTCAGCTAATTTGTTTTCTAAAAAAAGTTATACCAAATTAAAATGCCAGCAATGGCATTTTCCTCATATCCTCATCAACTTAAAATTTTTGCCAATCTGGCAGGTGAAAAACAATTGTATCATGTTTATATTTGGTATCTGTTTAGGCTACTCTTCCAGACTCTTTCCAATCTGTGCCTTCTTTTTCTGCCATTAAATGTTAATCAAATAATTAAGTCAAAGAATTTTAATCTGAAGCAATTTTTAACATCATCGAAATGTTAGACACAATATGAGAGAATACAGTTGGACGTGAGCCACGTAACTGCCTGCCAGCTTCTACCTGTGACTATGTTAATGTTGTTTCCCCCTTTTTAAAAATTGTAGTTCAGCCTTCTCTGCCAACAGTTCTATGCCATGTTCTTGAAAAGGGCTACATATTCTTGGTGCAACTCGATGATGATGCTGTCAATACAGATCCTGGTACCTCTGGTGATCCTTATGGTCAGCCTCTCATTCCTCAACTTCAGTACAAGCATGGAAAATGTCCCATTGGAGTTGACTCTAAAAAACATATGGTCAAACTATTGTTCCATTCTTTATTTCTCTGAAATCCAGGCTGGGTCCTCAGCTTTCAGAACATTTTACAGATATGCTCATGGCTGAAGAACAGATTCCTCTGCAGCTGCTAAGTAAGTACCAGGCCCAGGAAAACGGGGCAGGAAGCAGGCCCATTGCTCCTTGTAGTGAAGCCATGTGCTTCCAGGCCACGTGATGCTCCCTGAAGTCAGAGTGAATAGCTAGAAGTCTCAGAAAAACATCTTTCAAAAACCAAACGACAGGAAAGGGAGAGTTCCTAGAAATGAGACCAAGTTGTGTCTTTCTAGGGACTAAAGCATGTCCAAAAATGAAACTGATAAATTTTCTGTTACATTTGAATGTATTAAGAAGAGATTTACACTCCCTCCCGCAAAGGGAGTTTGTGGATGACTTGGTGATAGATGTAGAGAAAACTAAGCAAATGAGAAAAGGAGAACGTTATTAACTTCAGAGGGGGAAAGTTGTACAAAAAAAGAAACGTCATAATATACTGCTTGGTTCAGCTATGAATAATTTTTACTTTGTCATAGTAATGTCAAAACTGACTATTGATTGAACTGAATTTATGATACAACTCTAGGGGGAGGAGAGGGGAGGGGAAGGCCATAGGGGGCAGGGATAGTCATAAAAGAACAAAGTCCTTGCATCCAAGATAGGATGTCAATAGAGAGATGGGCTATTTAGCAATCCAGAGAAACATGAACTAAAAGATTTCAAAGTGGTTGCCTCTGGTGAGCAGGTACCAGGGATGGTGATGGGTAGGCCATGGCACTGCCATTTCTCATTATAAGTTTTATATAATTATTTGATTTTTAAAATTATATTCATGTGATATTTTAATTTAAAATAAAAATTTTAAGCATTTTTTTTTACTAAAGTAAAGAGACCAAATGCAGAACATGATGTAGCAAAGTGGTTGGGATTACAGTGACCTACCTCTCCAACCTTGGTTTCCTCTCCTGCAAAATGGAAAGAATAATAAACCTTGCCTCACATTGTCATCGGAGGATTCCATGAGAGAGTGCCTATCATGAGCTTTGCACACTGTTAACACTGGCACTCAGTAACCTTCAGCCACTGGTACAATTATCATTATTGTCGGTATTTTGGTTTTTTTTTTCAATTATCATTATTGTCGTTGCTGTGATTGAAGGTCCCTTCCAGCACTAAAAATTCCAGAATTCTAAGTGGGTCATATATTTCACCTGGCACTGTGTGCTGGAAGTCCAGTGATGAACAGTATTATTACCAGCCCTTGATGAGCTTCTAGCCCAGAGATCATATGGATAAGTGACAGTAGTTACAATACAAAGGAACCATAAATGATGGTCTCAGAGACATGTCTCAGCCTTGGAGGGCCAGACGATGCTCCAGAGTTAGGAGCCTAAGGTGTGAATAGGTACTGACCCACAGCAGGGGAATGTAACCCAAAGAACATTCCAAACCATGAGAAGAGCATTTGTAAGCATGGGGAACGGTGAGTCCTTAGGCATGGCTAGAACTTCAAGACAGGAAGCGGAGTCTGGATAACAGCTGGGCACTGTAGGTCGTGTGCAGGAGGTTAGCTTTATCCCAAGAGCAGGGGAGAGTCACTTGAAATTGTTGGGTAGGGTGCGTGTGATCAGACATGTCTTTTCACATGAGACTGGAGGGACTGGATAGGAGGCAAGGAGCTCTGTTAGAGCCACACAGTCCAGGCAAAGGTGGTGGGGCCTGGGCTGCATCAAGGCCGTGGGGAGGAGGGGAGTAGACAGAGCTGAGATTTAAAAGATGACTAGACAAGACTTTTTTATACTGCTCCAGTCAATGAAAGGAAAACTTTCTTGATGCCCTGGGGTCATGGGGCTCGGGCAGGAGGCAGCCCTGTGGGCAAAGGGGATCACTGGAATTCAGAGCACGGCCATGTCAGCAGGAGCCCACTTTCGGATGTGGGCGGGGGTTAGTGATGAGATAGATACCCAGGAGGAGCAGCGGTTGGGAGAGGCCAAAGGCGAATCCTCTCTGCCTCACTGGGCCTGGTGTGACGCTCTCGGAAGGTCTGCTCTCTTCTACGTTTAGTAGAGCCATTCCTCCTGAAAAAGTTAGAGGAGGAGCCCGAGGTCTTTGATAAGAACTACCTAGTGGCAGCTTCCTTTGAAGACATGGGGAACCACACCATAGTGACAGCGCTGTTCAACAACCAGGCATACCATTCCCCTGCCCTGGCGCTGGCACTGGTGGACAATGTCCCCTTCAAGTTGCTTTCTGGTGCCAGGGCTTCAATAATGGTATTCAACCACCCTCAACCTCAGTCAAACAAGGAGACCTCGGAGAATATCTTGTACGAGTATGTACGACTTTCCTTCCCTCCTCAGTGCTTCTCCCTTTACCACCTACTTCTTCCTTTTTTTTTGTTTTGTTTTAATCACAAATTGTTATTTTGGAGTATGGTTGCTGTGAGCAGTTCTACTTAAATGGCTACCTTTCTCCTTATATCCTGTCTTTTACAGGGGTCCTAAAGGACATTATCTTGTTATCAACTTACTTTTTGGAATGGCTTTCCTGTCTAGCTCTTTCTCCATCTTGACAGTCAAAGAGAGATGCATCAAGACCAAGCAGGTCCAGTTCATCAGTGGCGTTTACGTGGCTACTTTCTGGCTCTCCGCTCTGCTGTGGGACCTCATCTCCTTCCTCATCCCCACTCTGCTGCTGCTGGTGAGCTGCATGGTGCTGAGGCCTTTCCCCAGCACATCACAGGGGGCTTGCCTTGGGGACCCTGTGAAGAACCAGAACCCTACCTGAAGTCCAGGCTGGCACCTAAGCCCCTGATTGGCCACACAGGGTGTGAAAGCACCTTCATTGCTGACCCTCAGTAAAACATGATTTCAGTCCTAGTATCATAAGGAGCAGAGGGGCCGGCTCTAGGGTCTCTAATTTGTGGCTTCCCCACAACTGCTGCCTCAAGCTAGTAAATGACAGTGCCTTGGGGACAGTGCCCAGAAATAGCTCACCAGGGCACTGAGGGTTGCAAGTCTTTGGTGGTGACTGAATTGTGCAGCTTGAGGTTCCCTGGTCATTTGTGCAGAATGGGTCACGTCCCCCTTTGTTCTGCCTCTGAGCCCCTGATCTCACTGCACTGATTTCCAGGGGCAGAGCCAGCTGTCTCTGCACTGCCGGATGAGTAAGGGGAGTTGCCGATGTAGTACTGCTAACACCTTATTTACTTTATTTTTAAAATTAAGATTATAATATCCTTTCTCTAATGCTTAGGACTGACTCTTAGTGACTTTTCCAAATTCTACCCCGCTTTCCAAAGGTGGTGTTTTTGTACTATGATGAAGAAGCTTTTACACACCCAGAAAACATCCCTGCTCTTGTCTTGATGCTAATGCTCTATGCCTCTATCATCCCCTTCATCTACCTGACCAGCTTCTGCTTTGACAATGCGGGTAGCGCCTGTGTTAAGCTCATCATCACGCTCACCTTTTTGAACATCGGCCCCCTTGTTCTCGTCTCAGTCACAAGTGAAAAAGGTGAGGACCGTTACGGCTACACATCACACAGCTTTAACTTTCCCTCCAGCAGCCACAGAAGTTGTACCCATGAAAACGTGTGTCTGCCAGGGGCCTGTGTGAGGCTCTTCTCAGCAGCTGTCAATGGAAGAGCCCCAAACTGTCAACGTCCCAAACATGCATCTCCAGGAGGACAGTGACACACAGTGGTTATATTCATCAACAGAGTATGCTCAGCAACAAAGAGGGAATAGATGCTCACCACGTGCAGCAGTGCAGACAAACATCAAAACAGGGTGCTACGTGGAAGAGGCACACTCTGAGCCAGAAAAGCGTTTGGCTCAGAGCTGGGGGGAGGGGGTCCACCACATGGAGACCTTAGGGAACTTTCTGGAGTGTTGGAAACACTCTGTATCTTGATCCAGGTGTTGGTTACATGGGCATAAATATTTGTCAAAATTCATCAAACTGTCCACTTATGATCATGCATTTCACTGAAATAAATTATTCCTCAGTTTAAAAGAAGGTAACAGGGCTTCCCTGGTGGTGCAGTGGTTGAGAGTCCGCCTGCCGATGCAGGGGACACGGGTTCGTGCCCCGGTCCGGGAAGATCCCACATGCCGCGGAGCGGCTGGGCCCATGAGCCATGGCCGCTGTGCCTGCGCGTCCGGAGCCTGTGCTCCGCAACGGGAGAGGCCACAACAGTGAGAGGCCCGCGTACCACACACACACACACAGAAAAGGTAATAATAAGCCAGGGTTGGACGAAGGCTGCTTGGTGACGTGCAATTAGAGTCAAAGAAACTGAGGGGTGAGCCATCTTCACACCACATCCTTTAAAACCGACGTCTTCATGTCTGTGCTGCCGTCTCTCTCTGGGTCAGGGTTGGATATCCATGATCATATTTTACCTCTGTAATGCTTTTTTTCATTTGTTTTTATGCTGACCACCTCCTTCAAATTGACTTTGGGGTTTTGTTCGTTTCTTTCTTTTAATTTAAAAATATGTTAACAGCTTCTTCTGCTTTCATCTTGGGAGTCATTCTGTCTCTTAAAGGACATGTGTGTATTCTCTATTTTGAATTTATTTTACTAGTTTAACTCTCAGAGTTTGTGGTGCCTTTTCTAGTTCTCATACATACCACCTGTGGAATTTCAGAGACGGAATTATTTTCATCTGAGAGGATCATAAAAGTGACAGTGTTTTGACTTTATGATTGAAATAGAACAAAAAGCACACTGCAGGCAGAGGAAAGGGGATACACAAAGGCCTGTCCTGAGGGAAGCCAAATCCAGCAGTTCTCAGCTGTAAACTCCATCTGAGATTCACTGATCAGCACTTAAAGACATCCTGCATGATTCCAACACAGGTGGTACAGGGAATCACTCTGAGAAATGTTTGCCCTAATCTCCAGGGAGAATCTAAGGATTCCTCCCTTTCTTCTCTTCTCTGTCGCTCAACCCACCCGAGAGGGACAAGCACCTGAAAGTCCAAGGACACTGAGGGCCCTGATGGGAGCCGAGCTTTTAGAGAAGATGACCAAGCTAGCGCCTGACTCTCTGGACATTCTCTCTGGATGCTTTGGCCTTGCTGGGATCTGTTTCTTCTTAGATTGCTTCATACTATTTCTTCTCTTCCCTCCAATGCAGCAATACAGGGACCAAGGCACTTCTTCTGCTTAGCAGGAGGCAACTGCTAAAACTAACTGGAAATCGGGTGAGTCAAAGAGGAGGGAGGGGGCTTCCCTGGTGGCGCAGTGGTTGAGAGTCCGCCTGCCGATGCAGGGGACACTGGTTCATGCCCTGGTCCGGGAGGATTCCACATGCCGCAGAGCGGCTCGGCCTATGAGCCGTGGCCGCTGAGCCTGTGCATCCAGAGCCTGTTGCTCCGCAACGGGAGAGGCCACAACAGTGAGAGGCCCGAGTACCGCAAAAAAAAAAAAAAAAAAAAGAGGGAGGCTGGGACAAGGCAAGAAGCTTCACCTCTGGTCTGGGGAAAAGGATGCCAGTGCCTTCACAGGCTCCATCCCTACTCCCTGAGAAAGAAAACTATACTGTTAGAGGCTGGCCCTTGGCCCTTGTACACATGCCCTAGAGGCCTCATTAAGATGCTGTCACCATGGCAGTAGACAGAGAGTTATGAAAGCTAAATCTGAGCTCTTTTTCCTGAGACTCTACTAAAACGATAGCAAAGGAAATAAAAATGTATGAATTCACAATGAAGAAACATCTAAAGTGCATTCAGAGGGGGAAATGGCTGAGCAAGTATCTAATTTAGCAACACAGAATCCTCGAGAGGCTTGGGACCACAGAGAAAGGGAGTGAAACAGTCTGTTCCATCTCCACTGGCCCTACTACCACTCCCTACCCGGAAGCAGTCAGAGATCCCTCCTCTTGATGAATTGAAACTGCTTCCAAAAGAGACCTAAACATTATGGACTGGTCCCCTGCCTGATTGCCTTAAAATGTAGCCTGCCCCCCTACCTCCATAAACAAAGCTAGCAAATCACCTCCTGGTGCCTTATTTGTCTCTCTGAATAGACAGACCAATCAAGGATCACTGATCACTTGAGGATGGCAGCCAAGAAAAGACTAAAACAAACCAACAAAAAGGAGACACAGGGGTAGGGCCATGCAGGAAACAAAACCAAACAAAACAAAGATTTTGGAAAAGATTGCATCTATTAAACAAAAGAATTCCATGAAGAAGAAAAACTTTGAGGACAAGAAAGAGCTGATTGCCAAAATAAAAATTTAGCAGAAGTGTTGGAAAATAAAGTCAATTAACCTGCCAAAGTAGAGCAAAAAGATAAGAGAAATAGGAGAAGTTGAGAAAAAAGGCAGGTAACGTGAGAGTAAGTCCAGGAGATGCTATTATATTCAATTGATAAGCATTCCAGAAAGAGAAAACAGAGGAAATGAAGTTGAGGAAACTACCAAAGAAATAAAACAAAAATATTTCCCAGAGTTGAAAAAACAAACTTCAAGATTGAAGGGATCCATCAAATATCCAACACTGAATGAAAAAAGACCCAGATGCTTCCTAGATGACAACGAGTTCTATACTGAATTCACTTGTCAGTCAGGTGTATGGACAGAACAAAGACAATTTCAAATGGGCAAACAGAAATTGAAGTCACCATGTCACTTTCTTGGAAAGTTAAGGATATAGGCCAGCAAAGTGAAGGAGTAAAGTAAAGGAGAAAGAAGACACAAGATCCAGAAAAGGATGGATCCCACCCAGGAATGTGGCAGAGAAAAGTCCTTCAGTTGGAGGGCTAGATATGGATGGTTTGTGACCTCTCCTCAGTCTTCAACAAGCTTTGGAGTAGGATCCGCAAAGAAGGAAGGAAGGAAAACAAGCAGAAGTTGTAAATATCTGTTCCTTTGATTACACGTATTGTTGGTGAACTCATTCTAGTTAGGGTGAGCTTGGGGCGTGGGGTTGTCCCCTCTCAGATTTCAACAACTCGTCTCTTAGGGGCCCGAAGATTTTCGCTGAACAGGGGAAGGTCTGGGAGGAGACCGTGGCTGACTGTTCATTCCCAGTCTGGGCTCATGAGCCTTGCTTAGTGGTTAAGTCTTTCTCTCTACCCCACACAGGAGCTGCACTGCTGATGTTCTGGTAGTTTTCCCATCTCCCCTCTACCTCAGTCTCCAGGTTAGATTTCCAAATTTAGAATTCTAAAGAGAACAAATGAGGAGGACGTGACCCACTGTGTCTCCTTCCCAGAGCCATGTCTGCCACCTTTGCAGCTGTACTGCTGAGGCATGGTCTCCTTGGATGCAGCTGTCTGGTCACCAGAGCCATGACTCTGGGGCCTCGGCGACAGTGTGAAGCCACGACTTCTGAGTTGTGCCCCAAACTGCGCCTCCAGCCGCATGGGTGGACCCTGGCTCTGATGCTCAGTTTCTGAGTCCTGGCCCAGGAAATGTTGGTCTGGAGACCTCATATCCAAGTTCACCTCACCATACATCACAGTAGCCTCCACTGACAGGAATTTCACAGATTGACACCCAAAAGCTGTACTACTCTAAATCCAAGCCCTGAGAGTAGAGTTCATTTTTTATATGAAGAGTTTATTCAGCCTCTCTTCAGGGAATCTGTAAGTCACACGTCCACAGGCTCTCTCCCTTGGACTGCCCACTGGTTTAGAGCTGGTGGTGTGACTAGTCATGAAGTCTGAAATTAGAGCTCTAATCCCACCCAGTTATTTCCTCTTTTTGTTGTTGAGGATATTTTGTGGTTTGTGAAGGATGGCGGCTAGTAGCACGTGTAGTTATCAGGGATAAGCACGAAGTGGCCTGTTGGGTGGGTGAGGGCTTGATTACGTTTGTGGACTGTAAACATGGCCCCACTGCTGGCTCATGACCCAAGCAGCACATTATGAGTTAATCCTCTTACAAATTAATTAGCTTATGAGTAGCGTATTTATTTTGCAGAGCAGTTGTGTTTATTTGTTGTAAATAAACATTTAAAATATTTTAAATATAACACAGTTTATTTATAACCCCGTTTGGCATTTCTTCACTTTTCAATATAACATGAACCTAAAAAATTGGCTTCTCAAACCTCTAAGAGGCCCCAGTTTCTGTATATTTATTTTATAACCAGCCAGTTTAATGACCTCTCTTTTATTTCTTTTTTTAAAATGAAGTATAGTTGATTTACAATATTGTGTTAATTTCCGCTGTACAGCAATGTGATTCAGTTATACACATATATACACTCTTTTCCATTATGCTTTATCATAGGATATTGAATAGAGTTCCCTGTGCTATACAGTAGGACCTTGTTGTTTATCTATCCTATGCATAATAGCTTACATCTGCTAATCCCAGCCTCCCACTCCACTCCATCCCTCCCCCAACCCCCTCCCCCTTGGCAACCACATGTCTGTTCTCTATGTCTGCGAGTCTATTCTGTTTTCTCTTTTTTTTTTTGGCTGCAAGGCTTTTGGGATCTTAGTTCCCCAACCAGGGATCAAACCTGTGTCCCCTGCATTGGAAGTGTGGAGTCCTAACCACTGGACCACCAGGAAGTTCCCTCTCTTTTATTTCTAATAGCACTTTGATTGATTCTTGTGGCTTTTCTAGGTACATGATAATGTACAGCATTTGCAAATAATGATGGTTTTGGCTCTACAAACTGTACAGGCAGGAACTGTGTTCTTATCTACCTGTAAGATGACACTCAAATAACTCCAAAGCTGGCCCACGAGACCCTCCTGTCTGGCCCTAACTCATTTGTAAACCTCCAGCCTTCAAATCCACTGCTTCCACAGGTGCATCCCATTCTGCAGCCACGTTCTTGCTGGTTTTCTCAAACACACCAAGCTCTTTCTGATTTGTCTGCATAAACAATAGGAATAGAAGTAAAATAACAGGTTCAGGAAGCACTGCAAAAGAAAAATACTTATGGCTTGGAGGTTGAATGACTACAGGGGAAGAGGGAACACTGGGAGTCAGGGAGAACCTGATTCCGGTCTTGGGCCTGGCAGTGTGACGTGCAGAGACAGATATAGCAACAGATAGAGATAACAGATCCTTTATACAGGATAAAAGGCACAGTGGGTTCAGAGAGTTGCTAGGGGATGTTCCCTTTTCTTCCTGAAAGAAGAGTTAATATTTTCTATTCCCCTCACAGATCTAGGCTACACAAAAGCCTCAGAGTCTTTGGATCACACATTTCTACCGCTTCCAGGCCACTGCCTGGGGATGGCTTTCTCCAACCTATATTACAACTTTGAACTACAGACGTTTTGCAATGCCAAGAGCCTGAACCAGACTGAATGCAATCAAGTTTGTGAGTATTGCAAACAGAATTTGTTAATTACATTTTTTATTGAGATATAATTCATAGAAAATTCACCCTTTTAAAGTATGCAATTCATTGGCTTTTGGTATATTCACAAGGTTGTACAACCATCATCACCATCTAATTCTAGAACATTTTCGTCACCTGAAAAAAAGAAATACCCCATCCATTAACAGTCACTTCCCATTCCCTTTTCCCCCAAGCATCTGACAACCAATAATCTACTTTCTGTCTCTATGGATTTGCCTGTTCTGGACATTTCATGTAAATGGAATCATACACTATGTGACCTTCTGTATCAGGCTTCTTTCACTTACAACAATGTTTTTGAGGTTCATCCAGGTTTTGGTGTGCGTCGCTACTTTGTTCCTTTTTATGGCTGAATGATATTCTATTGCATAGATAGACTACAATTTGTTTATCCATTCATCAGTGGATGGACATTTGGGTTGTCTCTACATTTTGGCTATTATGAATAATGCTGCTGTGAACATTCACGTACAAGTTTCTGTTCGAACATGTTTTCAGTTATCTTGAGTATATACGTAGGAGTGGGTTTGCTGGGTCTTATGGTGACTCTATTTAGCTTTTTCAGGAACCACCAAACTATTTTCACAGTGGCTGCACCATTTTACATTTCACTAGCAATGTATGAGGGTTCCAATTTATCCACATCCTTTCAAAACCTTTTAAAATTAATTATTTTCTTAAATTGTGGAAAAATATATATGAAGTTTACCATTTTAACCATTTTTACATGTACAGTTCGGTGGCCTTAAGTACATTCACATTGTTATGCAACCATCATAACCATTATCTCCAGAACTTTTTTCAACTTGCAAAACTGAAACTCTGAATCCATGAAACACTAACTCCCAATCTCCCTCCGCCCAGCCCCTGGCAGCTATCATTCCACTTTCCATCTCTATGAGTTTGACTACTCTAGGTACCTCATATGAAACATTTTAATTCCTTTCTCATTTCCTTTTGGGTATATTCTATAGCTATTTTCTTTGTGGTTACCATGGGAATTACATTTAACATCCTAAAGTTATAACATTCTAATTTGAATTTATATCAGTTTAACTTCAAAAACATATAAAAACTGCTCCTATACAGCCCCTAAAAACCCCCTCCTGATATTTACACCCTTGAGTAGTCCCCTCCCAGATTGTACCAGGGTTGGTCTGTGTGACTGACAGAATACTGTAGAAGAGATGGCATGTCACTTCTGAGATTGGGTTATGAAAGACACTGCCTCTTATGTTTTGAGTACACTCTCCCCTTCACATCACTCACTCTGGGGAAAGCTAGTGGCCATGTCATGACTTCCCTGGTGGTCCAGTGGTTAAGAATCTGCCTTGTGCCACAACTACTGAGCCCATGCCACAACTATGGAGAGAAGCCTGCACACCGCAAGGAAAGATCCCATGTGCTGCAACTAAGACCTGACACAGCCAAAAAAGAAAACAAATAAATATTTAAAGAAAAAAGAAGACACTCAGGCAGCCCTGTGGATTATAAAAAATAGTCAATAGAAGACAATAAGTGCGAGAGAAAAAGGAACAAAGAACACATGGGACAAGTAGGTAGCCCTAATAAGATGGTAGATTTAAATTCAAATATATTAATAATTGCATTATATATAAATGGACTAAAGACTCCAATTAAAAGATTAAGATTATTAGAGAAGATAGGTTAAACACAGAGTTACCATATGACCCAGCAATTTCACTCCTAGGTATATATCCAAGAGAACTGAAAAGTTACATTCACACAAAAATTTGTACATGAATGTTTATAGCAGCATTTTTCACAGTAGCCAAAAGGTGGAATCAGCCCAAATGTCCACCAACAAACAGATGAATGGATAAACAAAATGTGATCTATCCCTGCAATAGGATATTATTCAACCATAAAAAGGGGACTTCCCTGGTGGTGCAGTGGTTAAGAATCTGCCTGCCAATGCAGGGGACACAGGTTCGAGCCCTGGTCCAGGAAGATCCCACATGCCGTGGAGCAACTAAGCCCCTGTGCCACAACTACTGAGCCTGCACTCTAGAGCCCACGAGCCACAACTACTGAGCCTGTGTGCCACAAATACTGAGGCCCGCACGCCTAGAGCCCATGCTCCACAACAAGAGAAGCCACCACAATGAGAAGCCTGCACACCATAACAAAGAGTAGTCCCCACTTGCCACAGCTAGAGAAAGCTGTGTGCAGCAATGAAGACTCAACACAGCCAAAAATAAATTAATTAATTTAAAAAAACATAAAAAGGAAAGCACTGACACACACTACAATATGGATGGACCTTAAATACATGATGCTAAGTGAAAGAAGCAAGTCACGAAACGCCACAGATTGTGTGATTCTGTTTGTATGGAATATCCAGAACAGGCAATCTATGGAGACAGTAAGTAGACTAGTGGGGAAAGTGGGCAGTAACTGTTCATGGATTTGAAGTTGCTCTGCGGAGGAGTGATGAAATGCTGTAAAGTTGGTTGTGATCATGGACCACCACTGTGACTACATTAAAAACCATTGAACTGAACACATCTGATGGGTGATTGTGGTAAATGGATGAATTGTATGGTATGCTAATTATATCTCAATAAGCTGTTGTAAAAAAGAAAGAAGGAATGAACAAATGAACAAACAAAGGAATAAAAGACAAAACAAGACAGGTCAAGGGCAGATGGTCGTGGAGAGACCCTCCCACTGGCATAATTGTCATCAATCATCCATCCAACAGACATTTACTGAAGCTCACAGACAAGAAAGTATGAACCTACTCCATAAACTCAAATGATAAGAAGTGCTACATTTCTTTGTATTATTTAAAATCAAGTGGCATCTGCCTATAAGACCTTCATCCTGCCTGGCTGGCAAGAAATTGGATTTCAGTCTCCCTGGAACCCATCTGCACATCACCTCCTGGCAATTTGTGAAAATTCATAGTTGGAAATATAGAATTTAAATATAGTTAAACCTGCTCCTCCACTTCTCCATTTTCTCCTAGAAATCTCACATGGATTAATCTCATCATCAAACTCTAACAGAGCTATATTCTTGCTCTCTTCCTTTGTGAGCCTTCTGCTTACCACCCTTTATCTGTACAAATATTTTTTAATTTTATTTATTTATTTTTTTTGCGGTACACGGGCCTCTCACTCTTGTGGCCTCTCCCGTTGCGGAGCACAGGCTCCGGACGCGCAGGCTCAGCGGCCATGGCTCACGGGCCCAGCCGCTCCACGGCACGTGGGATCTTCCCGGACCGGGGCACAAACCCGCGTCCCCTGCATCAGCAGGCAGACTCTCAACCACTGCGCCACCTGTACAAATATTTTTAAGCATTCTTTCACATTTCCTAAAATACATTCTTACCAGAATCTGCTAGTATTCTAAAAATCAGCGGTGACTTCTGAGAGTCCACATGCCTTTCTGTCAAGAGTTACTCACTCAGAATCATTCGGCTCCACTGTGGGATTGTCATTGGCCCATGGTGCCACCATGCTCTGAGCAGGGCTCCTTGGCCATCCCAGATGAGCCACCATGGCAACAGGCTTACTGCAAACTCAGGTGTGTAAGAAACATCACATTTCTTCATTTTCTTTGCATCAAACGATAACATTTTCAAGCCTTCTATCCCAAAATTTGTTCATGAAATAGAAAGCCTATATAGACCAAAACTGGAGGTAAAATTGAAATAATGGTTAAAGATCTACCCCTTCTTAAAAGAGTCTAGGCCAAAAGGGATTGATGGGCAAGTATACCAACCACCACCAAACAGTTATTTCCTTCTTGTATAACCGCTTCAGAAGCATAGGAGAGAAGACAGAGTGCTACCCAATCTTAAGCGAAAAACCAAAGACAGTATCCAACATGAGCCATAGGCCAATTTCATACAGGAACATAAATACCCTAAATAAGATATTAATACAAATTCAGCAGTATATTGAAAGAATAAAAATTACAATCATCAGGTTTATTCCAGAAATGTAAGTAAGGTTTAACAGTAGGAAATCCACCAATGTAAAGCACTACCTTCACAGATGAAAGGAGAAAAATATTTATCAATAGAAGCTGAAAAAGCATTTGATAAAAACTCAGTACCCACTCATGATTTTTTTTTTTTTTTTTTGCGGTACGCGGGCCTCTCAGTTGTGGCCTCTCCCGTTGCGGAGCACAGACTCCGGACGTGCAGGCTCAGCGGCCATGGCTCACGGGCTTAGTTGCTCCACGGCATGTGGGATCTTCCCAGACCAGGGCACGAACCCGTGTCCCCTGCATCGGCAGGCGGACTCTCAACCACTGGGCCACCAGGGAAGCCCTGATTTTTTTTAACTTTTAGCAAACTGTCTTGAGAAAAAAGAACAGAGCTGGAGATATCATGTTTCCTGTCTTCAGACTATACTACAAAGCTCCAATAATCAAAACTGTATGGTACTGGCATAAAAACAGACACATAGATCAATGGAACAGAATAGAGAGCCCAGAAATAAACCCATGCGCTTATGGTCAACTAATCTACAACAAAGGAGGCAAGAATACATAACAGAGAAAAAACAGTCTCTTCAATAAGGTGCTGGAAAAACTGGAAAAGAATGTGTAAAAGAGTGAAATTAGAACATTTTCAGATACAAACTACTATATATAAAATAGATAAATAATAATGTCCTACTGTATAGCATAGGAAACTATATTCAACATCTTGTAATAAACCACAATGGAAAAGAAGATGAAAAAGAATATATATGTATAACTGAATCACTTTGCTGTATACCAGAAACTAACACAAGATTGTAAATCAACTATACTTCAGTAAAAAAACTAAAAAAGAAATTAGAACATTTTCTCACACCATTTACAAAAATAAACTCAAAATGGATTAAAGATAAAATGTAAGAGCAGAAACCATAAAACTCCTAGAAGAGAACATAGAACACTCTTTGATATAAATCATAGCAGTATCTTTTTTGAATCTGTCTCCTACGGCAAGGGAAACAAAAGAAAAAATAAACAAATGGGACCTGATTAAACTTAAAAACTTTTGCTCAGCAGAGGAAGCCATCAACAAAATGAAAAGGCAACATACTGAATGGGAGAAAATATTTGCAAGTGTTATGACTGATAAGGAGTTAATACCCAAAATATATAAAGAGCTCATACAACTCAATATCAAAAAAAGGAACAACCTGATTAAAAAATGGGCAGAAGGGAATTCCCTGGAGGTCCAGTGGTTAGGACTCCGCGTTTTCACTGCCAAGGACGCAGGTTCAATCCCTTGTTGGGGAACTAAGATACCACAAGCCATGCAGTACAGCCAAAAAAAATAGTGGGCAGAAGACCTGAATAAGCATTTTTCCAAAGAAGACACGCAGATGGCCAACAGGCACATGAGAAGATACTCAACATCACTAGTCATCAGAGATATGCATATCAAAACCACAATGAGCTATCTCCTCACACCTGTCAGAATGGCTATCATCAAAAAGTCTACAAATAACAGATGATAGTGAGGATGTGGAGAAAAGGAAACCCTCACCTACTGTTGGTGGGAATGTAAATTGGTGCAGCCACTGTGGAAAACGGTAAGGAGGTTCCTCAAAAAACTAAAAACAGAACTACCATATGATCTAGCAATTCCACGTCTGGGTATATATCCAAAGAAAACTAAAACACTAATTCTAAAAGATACATGCTCCCCAATGTTCATAGTAGCATTGTTTACAATAGCCAAGATATGGAGGCAACCTAAGTGTCCATCAACAGATGAATGGATAAGGAAGATGTGGTATGTATGTGTGTGTGTGTGTGTATATATATATATAAACAAAGCAATATTACTCAGCCATAAAAAAGAATGAAATTCTGCCATTTGCAACAACATGGATGGACCTAGAAAGTATTATGCTTAGTGAAATAAGTCAGACACAGAAAGACAAACACTGTATGTTATCACTTATGTGTGGAATTTAAAAAATAAAACGAATGTATATAACAAAACAGAAACAGACTCACAGACGTAGAGAACAAATTAGTGGTTACCAGTGGGGAGGGGCAAGATGGGGGGGATTAAGAGATACAAACGACCATGTATAAAATAAATAAGCAACAAGCATATATTGTACAGCACAGGGAAATACAGCCATTTTTTGTGTAATAAATGGAGGATAATCTATAAAACTATTGAATCACTATGTTGTATACCTGAAACTAATATTATAAATCAACTATACTTCAATAAAAAAATTTTTTTAGCAAAGTAGAAATAGAAGAAACATTAGGTTAAAATCAGTTGATAAAGGCAATCAGAAATCTTTATATTTAATAGTGAAATATTTGAAGCATCTTCATTCAAGTCATCTGCGTTTTTCTTCTCAGCAGTTCCCTCCAGACTAGTGACATCTGTCTTCAGGGGAAGCCCCAGTCTGGGAATCCAAAGCCCTGTCTTGGGCTTCCCTGGTGGCGCAGTGGTTGAGAGTCCGCCTGCCGATGCAGGGGACACGGGTTCGTGCCCCGGTCCGGGAAGATCCCACATGCCGCGGAGCGGCTGGGCCCATGAGCCATGGCCGTTGAGCCTGTGCGTCCGGAGCCTGTGCTCCGCAACGGGAGAGGCCACAACAGTGAGAGGCCCGCGTACCGCAAAAAAAAAAAAAAAAAAGCCCTGTCTTTAGTTGGGTGATGCAAATGTTCTTCCCTAAGCAGACATTCCAGGTGATTTTCTGGTTTGCACCCCGTTATGGTCTCCCCACCCGCCACCCCCAGATGGCAGAGCCCAGAGCTGTCCAGCTGCTTTAAAGGGAGGAGGAAAGGAGAAGGAAGGACACTGATTATCTTTCAAAAATGGTATCATACTCTTGTCATCTTCTATTCCAGGGGAGCTCTTGAACATGGGCACAAATCAGGGTGGTTTGCTGCAAGTTCATAACGGCAAAAACTTGGAAATATCACATATGTGCCTGAATCTTTTATAAACAGCCAACTCAAATCTAGAAATGTTTCCTGGATGACTAAGTAGCAGTTAAACTGAGCTGGAGTAGGTTTGTATTTACTGACCAAGGAAGATCTTTAAGACGTAATGGCGAGTTAAAAAAGCAAGTTGCAGAATGGTAGATAAAGGATGATACTATTTACAACACAGTTGGTCCCCTATGGGGAGCACCCAGCCATGCAAAAGTTTGGAAGTGCACCCCCATGTGACTGCACTGCCCGGGGCGTGCCCTGCCAAGAGACTCCAGCAGCCTTACAAAGAAAATCTATTCGTGGGTTACATGTCTAATAGAAAATGTGTTTAAAGGGGAAATAATAAAGTGTCTTCTGCTGACCATATACTTGGAAGGTGACAAGAGGTAGGGAGCACTGGGCACTGAGGTTTACTGCCAGGCAGGCAGGAAATAAGCACTCCAGCCCCACATGCACCCTCCAGAACTGAGGTTCACGCCACCAGCAAGTGCTGCATCCAGACTCCCGAACGTCACTGTTGGCCCTTGGCACCCCATGGCACATATCTGTTCATGTGGCACACATGGGGGTGCACAGGACAGAGGCAGGGTCCAGGCCCCTGCCCAATTGGCAGCTTTCCTTCTGACACACCTACCCCTTGGGCTGTGTTCCAACCCCAGGTGAGGCAGTGGATTGGCTACTCTCCCCAGTTTGATGCCCTGCTGGACCACATGACGGACAAGGAGACACTGGTCATGTACGCCTAGCTCCGGGGCATCCCCAAGCTCCACATCAGTGCCTGTGTGGACCAAATTCTTGATGATTTACTCATGTACACGTACGCCGACAACCTGGTGAAGACCTACAGGTGAGACTTGGGGCTCCCTCGGCCCTTCCCCCTCCGGTAATAAGATGTGTTGTGGTTCTTCTCAGTGCTGAGGGGTAGGGCAAGGCGTGTCAGCTCCGTGCTTGGGGTAGTTTTGTGGTCCATGCCACTGCGTGGATTTTTGGGAAGGTGGCCTCCCTCCCCTGTAAGAATGGGTCAATGGCCTGGGCTGCCCCAAGGCACAGCTTCCTCTTGGCCCCAGACAGTTATGTGGCTGAGGACGGGCTGATGCACCATTGGTATTATTCTTCCTATCGCTTCACAAAGGGCTTCTGCTTTCTGGTAGACCTGCATTTCAAGCACATACTACCTTATCCCGCTCTGTATGAGGCATCTGAGCTGTTGTTCTGCTGAGAAGCCTGGGGGATTCCTCAGTCTTATGTTGCCAGTGATCCTAACCCAACTCCAGTTAGCTTAAACAAAGCAAGGCCACACATGTCCGGAATCCCAGGCCACCCCTCGAGTTGTGCACAGCGCCCCTGCAGGCTGGCAGCAGTACCCCACTCCCGGGACAGGGAAGTCAGAGGCGGTTAGATGATGTTGCCCTGTCTCTTTCTTCTGTTGACTTCGGTTTCAAGCATGTTTTTGTGTTTCCTTGCATCTTCTGATGATTAAATGAGTTAACACCTGGGATGTTTAGAACAGTGCCTTGTACATTGTAAATGCTATGTGTTCATTAAATAAAGTTAGCTAAAACGGCCCTATGGGGCTTCCCTGGTGGCGCAGTGGTGGAGAGTCCGCCTGCCGATGCAGGGGACATGGGTTCGTGCCCCGGTCCGGGAAGATCCCACATGCCGCAGAGCGGCTCGGCCTGTGAGCCATGGCCGCTGAGCCTGCGCGTCCGGAGCCTGTGCTCCGCAATGGGAGAGGCCACAACAGTGAGAGGCCCACGTACCACAAAAAAAAAAAAAAAAAGGCCCTATGCTCTTACCCCCCTAACATCCATAGAGACCCTCAAAGGAGATTCATGGACCATGTGCTCACCCTGGACCTATGCCTGTGTCCAGGGAAATGGTTTAGATGCTGAGTGGACAGCCAAGTCACAGTGCACCCCTGAGGGAGGGTGGTGGGCCATGTTACTGAATGCCCCACCGTGGGGCGTGAGCACTTTCTTAATAGAGAAGAAAAAAGGGGGGAGGATTGTACTACTGGAAACTTAAGATTGCCAATCACCCAACTTCTCCCCCTCTGCCCCAGCGGTGGCAACAAGCGGAAGCTGAGCACCGGCACTGCCTTGCTTGGAGAGCCCACAGTCATCTTCCTGGGCGAGCCGTCCACTGGCATGGACCCCGTGGCCCGGAGCCTGCTCTGGGGCACCGTTGCGAGGGCCTGCAAGTCTGGCAAGGCCATTGTCATCACCTCCCACAGGTAAAGCCAGGACCGGGACTGAGGGGGGGGTGGGCCGGGAGGGGCTGGGTGGACAGAAGACCTGTCAGCATCTGGTGAAGAGTCTGTGAGGAGAGTCCCCAGGCTCTACCTTGTGGGCCACACCCTGAGCATGGGAATCAGGAACAGCCTGATCTGGGCATCAACACCTTCTCATCTGCACAAGCCTTTGACGTGGATGGTGGGCATCAGCATCTCCCAGCCATTTGTCAGGCCTCCATCCCCTCTCCCCAGCATGGAGGGCTGTGAGGCCTTGTGCACCTGGCTGGCCATTATGGTGCAGCATCAGTTCAAGTGCCTGGGCAGCCCACAGCACCTCAAGAGCAAGTTTGGCAGTGGCTACTCCCTACGGGCCAAGATCTGGAGCGACAGGCAGCAGGAGGCCCTGGAAGAGTTCAAGGCATTCGTGGACCTGACCTTCCCAGGTATGTGCTGCTGTGCAGAGGTCATCTGTGCATCTGTCCATCCCTGACCCCTGGGACGAGGGCCACGATTCCAGGGGCCTGGGCCGCCTTCCCCTGGCCATCCAGCCCGGCCCTCAGGGGGACACTGTGCAGGCAGTGTCCTGGAAGATGAGCACCAAGGGATGGTCCATTACTACCTGCCTGGCAATGACCTCAGCTGGGCGAAGGTGAGCACATACCTGGGCATCAGAGGGAGCACACCTCTGATGTCACCCACTTTCTGGTGTTCTCTCTTTCGGGTGGAAGTCTTATTCAGTGCCACTGCAACATTCACATGGATTTCATAGAAAATAAGAATGTTTGAGTTGGAAAGGACCTCGGATATCAGCTCCCCCCGCCCCCTCATTTCACAGAGAGGTGAGCGGACCCAGAGAGGGGACACCATATGCCCAGGGTCACACAGCAATCCAGGGACCCAGCTGGGCCCTCTGCCTTCTGGCACCACTTGCAGCCAGGGTCCCTTTCCCTAAAATCACAGAGAGCTCAATTCTGTAGGACTGACTTCTTGAGAGGTGGTCTGGGAGCAGCTGAGAGAGGGATGGGCCTTTGGGGGGCTTTGTAACAACCCAAAAGACCCTTCCTCTTTCCAGCCCCTGTTGCCTCCTCTCCCCTTCCCTGTGCCCATCATCTATAGCAGCTTCCTCCTTTCCCACAGGTGTTTGGCATTTTGGAGCAAGCCAAGAAAAAGTACATGTTGGAAGACTACTCAGTCAACCAGATCTCTCTGGAGGACATCTTCCTGAGCTTCACCTGCCCTGTGCCCCCCAACCAACGGGAAAACAAACAAGCGAAGGCAGAACCTGCAGGCCCCTTGTTACCCTTTCCACCTCTCTCTCCACCTTCTCCCCAGCCTCCCTCCCTGCCTCCCTCCCAGCCTCCCTCTCCACCTCTCACTCCACCTCCCACTCCATCTTCCTCCCAGCCTTTCTCCCAGCTTTCCTCCCAGCCTCCCTCCTGGCCTCCCACTCCACCTCCCTTCAGGTCTTCCTCCTGGTCTTCCTCCTGGCCTCCCTCCCAGCCTCCCTCACCACTTCCCTCAAAGGCTGTCTTGCTGTAATAAAGAGTTCCCAGTGCCAGGTTAGCCCAGGTGCACACAGCCTGCCATGGGCTGCAAGGGTTACAGAGGCAACTTGAGGACCCAGTGAGCTCAGCTTGAGGGTGGAGGGGTGGGGGCAGCTCTCTACCAGATTGAGGCCAGTCACCTTAGAGGCCTGATGGAGGACCCAGGTGCATTTCTGTGGAAAAGGATCCCCTCAAGTCCCACCTGGGTGGCTTTCAGCCTCACTGAGACCTGGCCATAGAAGCAGCCTCAGAGGAACAACACCTGCCATGTCCTGTCAGGAGTATGGAGGCCTGGGGGTGACCATGGTTGTAATGATGCCGTACTTCTGAAGGTAGGAAGAGAGAAGAGATTGACAAGTTTGCAAACTTAAAGCACCATTTTTCAATATTTGGATTTGTGGGGCTCCATTTGTTCTCTGCCCTGGCCCACACGAATGTTAGGGGTGAGCCTGTATGTGGCCCTCCGTCAACCCATGATGTGGACATGATTATTATCCCATTGCCCAGAAGAGTAAGCTGAGACTTAGAGATATCCAGCAACTTTCCATGGTCAACAGATGGTAGAGCCAGGATTCAACTCAGGCAGAAGTTTTCAAAGTGGAGTCTCTGACCAGGAGCATCCACATCATCCAGAAACTTGTTAGAAATGCAGATTCTTAGGCCCCACCCCAAACCCATTGAATCAGAAGTCTGGGGGGTGAGGACCAGCAATCTGTGTTAACAGGTGCTTCTGATGCAGCTCAGGCATGAGAAGAACTAAGCCAAGCCTGTGAGCTCAGACCATCCGGCCTGAGTGCAGATGGATGTGGCCGTGTACCTTTGTCCGAGAAGTGCCCTGCCCAATAGCCTTTCTCCCTGCAGCATGGTCACACCCGCCCCTCTACAAAGCCCCATTCGGCTTCTCCTTTGCAGGTAGTTCTCTCCCTCCCTTCTCAGCTCAGCTCTGGGAAAGTGGTGTCTACCATCCCTGCCCACACTCCCTACCTCCCCTCACCACTCACCAAAAGTACAGCGTTGTCACATGCCTGGCTGCCACACCCACTCCATCCATTTTTCCTGTGACTTCTCTGAGGCATCTCAGTGTCCCCTGCCCCCTTCTCCCCACTGCACCAGGCCCCCCATGGCCCCTCATCTGCCTCCTCTGTAGGCTCCTCTTCCTTTCTCTCCGAGTGGGGGATGCCTCAGGCTCCCAGCCTGCTTCACTTTTCCTTACTCTCCCCTCTGCACCCTGCTACCCTTGAGTTTCTTTCTCATTCACCCCAGGCCTTCAACTGCCATCTTATTCCAGTCAGGAACTTGCCTGAGCTCCCAAAAATCTACTCTTCCAGTGAGTTCTCTCACCTTCCTGAAGCCCAATGGGAAATGGGCTCTTCTCACACCTTCTGGGAGTGGCTCATCACCCCTCTGAGCCCAGGGGCTCTTACTGCCAGGGCAGTGGGTGGGGGTGACGGATGGCATGGCTGCAGCAGAGCAAAGAGAAGAACGCCTATTTCCTGATAAACAAGAAAACTTTACCTCTGAATAAATAAAAAGAGTGGTAAGGACATAGGAGCAAGATAGAGGACAACTGAGAGACTGGTCAGGGTGCCACTTGGACTCCACAGACACGCAGTGTCACAGGGGAGCGAGAGCGTGACTTACTCACTGGTGAAGCCAATGCCACCAAAATCTAACACAGAGAGTGTACCTCTGCCCTGGGGAGACCATCAACAAAGAAAGTAACAGTGCAGGGGGAGGACAACAAAGTACCAAATTGGGAAACAGTAGCCTATGGAAACAAAGGTGAGGTGAAGAAGACTGAAAACCCTTAGGGGTCCTGTGGATTCTCCTGTCCTCTGGTGTGGGAACGTGGGGCATCTGGGGAGCAAGTTCCAAGCTTGCTCTGCTCTACCCACTTCTCTTCCCATGCACATCACCCCTGCCCCTCCTCCACCCCCAGCTTCCAAGGCCTCATATCCCATGCTGTGATCATCCGTTCGTCTCCTGCTCCAGACTGGCATGGAGCCTTGGCACCATGGCTCCTCTGTGTGTTCAGCTGCTGAGCACAGACCAAGTACCCTGAAGGGGTTCAGCGAGTATAAGTGGTAGCGGGACAGAGTGCTGTCTGAGGCTGTGGGGAAATGGGAGAGGAGAGTCTTGACCCAGATTCCCCGGCTTCTCCAGGAAAAGCCACTCTGTCCTCTTCCATCAAACACTTCTCCCAGGAGACTGCATTTCTTTCCTTGTTCGAAGGTCTCATGAAAGAGGTGGGATGTGAGCTGGTTGCAGAAAGACAGACTGGGTGGGCACTGCCTAATACCTGAGTAAACAGAACGCTCAGCTGTGGCTGAAAGCAGCCAGTAAAGCAAGCAGGTGTGCACTTCTATTTTAGTTGGGCTCCCAGGTGACCACGAGGAGACATTGGGGACTGACAGGGGACGATATCTAGTCCAAGTGAGAAGGTGAGGGCTTGCCCTGGGCAGGGATGGAGGAGGGGTCCAGGGTGAGCCACGTTTCAAGGGAGGAAGGAGTCAAACGTGTTGGATGAGTCAATGAAGATTTCGAGCACCAGGTCTCTGAACTCCACTTTCTGCATTACGATCTATGCCAACAGCGACTCGGCCACCGAACCAGGGGTCTCCTCGCCTGAAGCAAGGGCTGGAAGAAGGGCGTGCGGCTTCGGGGTGCGGGTCGGAAAGGTCAGGGCCAGCCTCGGTGAGGCGCAGCCCGCGGGTACCGGCTAGCCTAAGTCCCCGCAGGTAGAAGACCACGTCGGGGTCCCCGCTCCGATACCCTGGGCTCGGAGGCGCGGCCGGTCCGCTCAGACCTTCACTGACAAACCATTGCACGCCGTGGCCTCCGGTCGCCGGGACCTCTTGCCGCCGAGTCAACCACAAGGCCTAAGCCCAGAACAGGCCAGGTCCACGCGGGCCGGAGCAGATTCAGAGACGCTCCTGCAGCCAGGCCCGGAGCCACGCTCCTTAGGGACACTCGCCAGGGCCGGGGAGGCGGGGCGGCCGCGCAAGCTCTACCAATCAACAGCCGGCGTTCGAATTCGCATCCTGGCGCGGCCAATCGCGAGCGTCCGAGCCTGAGTGGGGGGGAGGGGGCGGGGCCCGGGCGAACAGTGGCGCGCGCCCCCCCGGGCGGGCCAATGAGAGCGCCTGGTGCATTTGAAAACTCCGGCGGGCGGCGGGCGGGTCTGCGCCTGCGTGGGGAGTCGCGCTCCGGGCCGGCAGGCGGCACTGGCAGAGATATCGGCGACGGTAGCGACGGTAGCCACGGTTATGGGGAGCGGAGGCGGTGAGCGCTGGGCGCGGGGCGCGGCGGGGCGGCCTCGAGACCTTCTGCCCGGGCTGCGTGTCTTCCCGGCGGCGCCCGCTCGGCGCGTGGTTTAAATGCCCGGGAGCGCCCTGCTCCGCGTGAAAGCGGTGAAAGCGGCGCGCGGGGTCTGCCACCTGTCGAGGGCCGTGAGCGCCGCTCAGGTTTCCGTGGTTATTATCGTGGCTGTCCTAGAGCAAGGGGATGAGAAAAATGCGGTAAAACGCAGGGACCGGTCGCCCTGCGTGTACGCTTGGCTTTCGCAGCATGTTAATTGATGATGGGAAGACCCAGGTGAAGAGCGAGGGGAGGGGGGCAGGAAGAAGCCCTGAGGAGGGAGTCGTGCGGGTGGGAGAGCAGCCACCTCCTGTCGGGACTGGAGGAAGGAACGGGTGGGAAACCAGGTGAATTGTAGGTGATGGGCTCCTCCTGCCTCAAGCTTCTATGTCGTCTGCTTAGAGTCAGCAAAGACTTGCTGAAGTTGAAGTTGGAAGGACCTCCTGTGGGGAGAGAGGACACTGAGACTGGCTGGGCAGCTCTGACATCCGCAGAGCTGGGACAGGCCTGGCCTCCAAGTCCACCTTTGGCTTCTCTGCAGGGTGGACCCTCCTAGTTTGGACTTGAAAACCAGACTGTTCAAGTCCACAGATCCTTATTAACATTATGCATTTTAGTCCTGTGTGCAGATAGAAGCAAAGAGATCAGTAAGGGTCAAGGCACGTCCCTGAGAGTGAAATGCAAGGCTAACCATCATCAGCGTTGGCTGCTTTTTCCCCCTTCCTGGTTGTCATCTGGGCTCTGGATCAGAAGGTTTCCCAATAGCCAGGTTACATGATTACTACTCACCATCAATGTTTATTGAATATTTGAATGAATGATGATGTCTTCTGTACCACTACTGCTCCTTTATTTAATCTTTGTTTAGGACTGTAAATATGCCTGGGGCAGAGGACAGTAACTGTTAAATCATGTTCAGATGTAACTTTTCATATCAGCACAACTCGTTTCCAACACATCACTTAGACCATTCTGATTTTTTTTCTTAAGTGATCCACTGTAGGTGTGCCAAGTGTTTCTGTTATCCTACAAAGCGGAGAATAAGAAGGAGACCCCGAAACCTAACGATCTTGAGTCTCCCTGAAGATGTGCTCTTTCATATCCTGAAATGGCTTTCTGTTGGAGACATCCTCGCTGTCCGAGCTGTAAGTTGTCAGATGAAAATAGTGTCAGGCCTGGCATCATTGGTTATATTGTACCATGAAGGCTTCGTGTCTTAAATGTCAGAACAAAAACTTTGGCTACAAATGAGGGTAGAGGAAACAACGGTGATATTGGTAATAGATGCCTAAGGTTGTTCTGATTGCAGGAAAGCTAAAACGTAGGACAGCAAGGTTTGAGTCTGCTCATTGTAATGTTTATTTTGACAGAGAAAATACCCTTTTATGGCAGTGAAATTTGTATCCCTCAAGAAATAAGATAGCATTAAGAAGAAAAATAGTATGTTCTTGAGGACAAAGCCCATGTAATATTCAGCACTGAAAGGGACTCTGGGAGTTATTTTGCAGATTTCGGAACTGAAGCCTCACTTTGAGTGATTTAACCAAGGGCATACAGCAAATTAGTGGGGGAACACCAGTAAGAACCCACTTCTCTGACTCCCAAACCTGCCTCCATTGCGTTCATAATATCCATGGGTGCTGAATTTCCAATGGCAGTGGAAGCTTTAGCACTTAAAATGCTCACCTGTGCTCAGGGCCCCCTGCCTGGGCACTTCCTGCTATCACCCAGGACAGAAGTCCTACCTGAGGCTGCTGTCATGTGTTTCAGTCTTTTCTGAGAGCCCCCATTGACCTGCAGGCCTCAGCTTTGCTCCCACTAGCAAGACCCTAAGTAGAGGAGCTCAAAACAGATTTCTGACCTACCTGTTCCCATTAGAGTTGATTTCCCTGATCCTTGCAGGTATTATAGCATTATATCCCCTTTCTCAGCCTAGGTGCTTATTCCCCCTTCCAGGACCACTGTCCCCATCTTTAGAGCCACAGAGAAAGTTGTTTCTGGGCTCTTTTCTCTATTCAAAGCAATTGTTAGTTACTTTGATATATAGAGGCTGGGCCTTTACTGCTAGGGTGGGGAGGGAAACAGGAGACCCTACATCTGTCTACACCCTGTCTTCAAGAGCTCCAGAAGCAGGACTTCTGGGAGGTCCCTTGATTAACCACCACTCCCCCTCTTCCATTGTTCTTCAGGTGCACTCCCACCTGAAGTACCTGGTGGATAACCATGCCAGCGTGTGGGCATGTGCCAGCTTCCAGGAGCTGTGGCCTTCTCCAAAGAACCTGAAGCTCTTTGAAAGGTATCTCTGCACCCTGAGAAGAGCGTGGCTTTCTCCCACCTTTGGGCCTCCCTGCTATGCCAGTCTGTGTCTCAAGGCCTGACCTGGGAATGATTTTCCTCTTGCTTGTTGCTCCCGCCAACACCTTATCCCCCAGGGAGTGACTGAGGGCTGTCGACCTCACCCATCGAGTCACACAACTTCCAGCACAGTCATGGGTCATCCACACCACCAGCACAGGCCTGACTCTCATTAGTCACAGCAGTGCTTCTGAAGGGTCCACTTGAGCTGTGACCCACTGTGTGTGACTCAGATGCAGGTCACCTGCATGTGGAAACTTTCCTCAGCCGTCTTCTTTTGGTCAGAACAATGCGATTTGAATCCTATTACATTATACTCATTGGCTGATCCCACCTCCCCGCCCGGGGTTGGGACCTAGAGGAAGGGCCAGAGGGGCTGCAAGCTGCAGTATGCCAGTGGTCACAGGCAGGCTGCCTGAGACATAGTCCACCATCCACACAATTTACCCTTTTAAAGTGTACAACTCAATGGTTTTTAGTATGCTCACAGAGTTGTGCAATCATCAACACTATCTAACTTTAGGACATTCTCATGACCCCCAAATGAAGCCCCATAACCATTAGCAGTCACTCCCTATTTTCCCTATAGTAACGTAGACCCTATGCAGCCACTAATCTGCTTTCTGTCTCTATGGATTTGCCTTTTCTGGACATTTCATATGAGTGGAATCATACAACATGTGGCCTTTTGTGTCTGTCTTCTTTCACAAGTGTGTTTTCCAGGCTCATCCATGTTGTAGCATGTCATGGATAATTGATATTTAGCTGCATTGCCAAAAATATTTTCTGTTCAGAAAATAAGTACTGTAGTTTTAAGTGCTGTGGTGGAACATAACCTTTATGGAATAAAATCATGTGATGTTTCATGTTCTTAATGTTCTAGGGCTGCCGAAAAAGGGAATTTTGAAGCTGCTGTGAAGCTGGGCATAGCCTACCTCTACAATGAAGGCCGTAAGTCCTCGAGGGGCTGGTGCTGGGGCTGGCCTCTCCCCATTTGGTACTGACATTTTAGAACAAGCACGAGGGACTTCCCTGGTGGTCCAGTGGTTAAGACTCTGTGCTTCCACTGCAGGGGGCGCAGGTTAGATCCCTGGTTGGAGAACTAAGATCCCGCATGCTGTGTGGTGTAGCCAAAACCAAAAAACCTAATAGAACAAGCATGAGCTCTTGCCCGTGTCAGCAGTTTAGTCGCTGTTCTTGCTGTGTCTGGCTGTGTAGCGTCCCCACTGGGGAGCTTGTGCCAGAGGTGTCCTGCTCAGGGACCCATGGATGAAGTTTGATTTTGTAGTTTGGGGGAGTTGCCTCTTTGTTTAATGAACCATTAATTTCGGTTGACAACGAGTGACTCTGAGCAGAGACTCAGAATGGGGGCTACTCAGGCAAGCCAGCCCTCCCTGGCTGCCTAGTTAACACCACAGCCCATGCGTAGACCCCAGCTTCTCTCCTTGGCCACAGCTCATCTGAGGAACCTGGGGCAGTGGTCAAAGCATGCCTGATGCCAAGTGTCAGTAACACAGGGAGCCAAGGCTCCAAGTGGGAGGCAAGTACAAACAGGTCAAAGCCAGCCTGGTACCTAGATTCCTTCACCCCTAAGGGGCAGGTGCTCCTCGAAAGAACCTGGTGCGGCCCTCTCTCCCAATTCCTGCCTGTCTGCTGAGCACATTAAGGAGCGAGCCTGCAGTTCATCCTGTCCCAGCTCCCAAGATGCATAAAGACTTGGATATAGTCGCCATTTTTCTGCTTCTAAAAGACCTGGCGTCTTACTTAGAGGTCACCCTGGTCACAGCTGGTAGACAGGACTGTTGGACCTGCAGACGATGAGCAATCCTGCGCCCACCCTCCTGTCAGATGGCTTTGCCCAGACGAGATTCACACACCACTCAGCTCACCTGTCTAATGTTTACAGTCCAGTGGTTTGGGTATCTTCACAGAGTCGTGCAGCCATCACCACTCAATTTGGAGCCATCATCTCATTACCCCACAAAGAAACCCCCTACCTGTTGACAGGGGTCTGAGCAGCAGTTCCCCACAGGAAGGAGGGTGGGCATCTGATGCCTCCACATGGGGGGGACCTTCCCAGATCTTCGGAATCCAGGCCGCTGGGAGGGGCTGCAGGGCACTTGGTTCATAAAACATGGGAAGAAAAGGGAGGAGCCCCCATCCCAGCTCTTCTGTCCTAAGACACCAGCAACTTCACATTGTAGCGGCTTAAGGCTTTAAACTTTCCAAAAAGACTGGGGAACTTCCCACACCCCTCCTCCAGAGACATCCCGGGCTATGTTCTGTCCGTCTCTTCAGTGTCTGTGTCTGATGAGGCCCGGGCAGAAGTGAACGGGCTGAAGGCCTCTCGCTTCTTCAGTCTCACGGAGCGCCTGAATGTGGGCGCCGCGCCCTTCATCTGGCTCTTCATCCGCCCACCTTGGTCGGTGTCCGGAAGCTGCTGCAAGGCCGTGGTTCACGAGAGCCTCAGGATGGAGTGCCAGCTGCAGAAAGTGAGTCCTGGCAAGGGGTGCAAGTAGGGCAGGCCGTGCTGGGCGGGCTGAGCCCCGTAGGGTCCCGGGAGGTGAGAAAACTTTGAGGGGAGATGCTGTGGACCATGTAAAGTCAGGGACCCGAGAGCAGTGGAGGCATAGAAAACAGTGCGGATGTGGGAGCATCTGCTAAAGACTAGCAGGAGAGGAGGCCTCGGAGCCAGGGTCAGGGGAATCGGGTGAGGGGCTGGGCTGCAGACGGGTCAACTGCTGGAAAGACAGGACTGAGGCTCTGTGAAGCAGTTGGCGGAGGCCTGGAATCAGGGAGTGGTCCTCTGCACAGAGGGGCTGGGCAGGGAGCAAGGAGGACCCACACACAGAGGGACAGTCCCCGGGAAGTTCTGTCCGCTAACAGTCACCCCTCCTCCTCCACCTCCTTTCTCTAGACTCACAGAGCGTCCATACTGCACTGCTTGGGGAGAGTGCTGAGTCTTTTTGAGGTGAGTCCCCTCCACCATCCCACGGGGCCCTGCGTTGTTTGGCGTCCTGGCCCGGGTGAGCACGCAGGGCACAGCGGGTCTGCATTTTTGTGCTGCTCGCCTTTCTGGCAGCTTCAAGCACCAAGAATCAGGAACTGCGTGAAAGGCAGCAGAAGGGGGCTTCCGGGGTTCAAAGCCAAGATGAGCCCTGTCTGTGAGGCTGTGTGGAGCCAGGAAGAGTGTCTGAGCGGGACAGGACCCCGGGTCTATTTGTTTCACGGCTCTGCTACTGGCGGCTCCCTCCCACTACTCACGCAGACCTCTCTACTTAGTGAGCCTTGTGATTCGGGAACCCCGTCTGCAGCAGTCTTGGGGGAGGTGGTGGCTCCTGGTGCTAGGTGCTCTGACAGCAGCAGGGAGGGACACTTAGTATGAGCAAGGAGCTGGAAGACCTTGGGAAATCCTCCCCCGTCACCGTCCGGGCAGTGCCTGGAGCCGAGTCCAGCACAAACCTCATGCAGGAGGAAGCAGGGCCTGAGGGCAGAACTCATGGGCTTGCCTTCACGAGTTGGTTGTCAAATCGTGTATCTTCAGAGAAGTTGTTTTTACTCTAATGTAGTTAACTCATTTTATTAAAGATGAGAACAGTATATGTGGTTACTTAGAGGTACTTATTCTAGGATGAAGAGAAACAGAAGCAGGCCCGGGACCTGTTTGAAGAGTCTGCTAATCAGGGGTGTTTGACCAGCTCGTACCTCCTCTGGGAAAGTGACAGAAAGATGGATGTGAGTGGGCCTAGGTCTGGGGAAAGAATGGATTATGTTGGCCAAAGGCACAATCTCCAGAGTAGCCCTTGGACAAGGTTCTGCCACCGCAGCTGGGGTCGCTGTTGGTCATGGGGCTGCTTTCAGCACTGCCCCTGAAACGACCACCACCATTTGGGGGATAAAGGGCTGGGAAGAAAGCACAGCTGGGGACCCTCTGGAGGTGTCAGGGGGAACATTTAAGAAGACTATGGGTTGGTTCTGAGTTTCTCCAGAGATATGGCCTTGTAAGGGCATGGTGACTCTCCCATTGACAGATGTCAGATCCCGGACGATGCCTCCACAGCTTCCGGAAACTCAGGGACTTTGCTGCCAAAGGCTGCTGGGAAGCACAGGTGAGCTGGGAGCTGGCCTTTGTCCTGACACCTCCTCTCGTGGGGACCGTGGGGGCAACACTGCCAGGTTCCCACCCAGGACGAAGTAAGAGTGGCCCAGGGTTTGGAACTGAATCTAAGGGAGTTCAGCTCTAGGGTGTGCGGGGAGGAGAGCCCAGAAGCACTTTCCTCACCTCTGCCTGTTGCATCTAAGACAGCCAGCCACTTAATTTCTAAGTGCTGTGGACTACATCTGCATCAAAATTTATACAGCTCCCTAAAGTTGGCCTGTAGGGAAAGCATCTTGGCTACAGAACTTAGAGCTCCTTAGAGCAGATGGGTGTGTGGAATGCTGTCCTCTTCTCATTATCTGACCTGCTCACCAGGTTGTCCAGTGTTGGAACCAGGACATCAGGGGTCTGTAGTTGGTGTTCTCCAGACACTCTCCCTGTGCAGCTGTAAAGAAGTCATTATTTTAAGATAAATCAAAGAAAGTCCCCCTTTGCCAAGCTGGTAAACACTTGCTCTTGTCACCCCACCAAGTTGGGGGTTGAGAGTCATCTGCCCTTAAAAGCTAGGGAAGAAATCACAGAGGGATGGCCCGCCTGACACATCACAGGACGTTGTAATGTTTTTGTCCAAAAAGGCACTTAACAAGTTTACAAGAAATACAACAACGAACAATGTGGTTCTAGTTCAAGCTCAGGCTAATCAATAAGAATAGTAAGGCCCTCTAGAAGTTCACAGAGCCTCAGTGTACTCAAAAAAGAGGAAATAAATACAAGCAGTCAAAATACGGAGCAGGTTTGACCTCTCTGCTAGTCAAAAAGGCACACGTTTAAAGAGATCGTGGCTGATCACACTAGCAAATCATATACACGTAGTCTTTGTGTTTTTGAGTGGATAGCTAGGAACTTCTGAAAATACACTTCGGCTTTTTTTTATTGTTTTTTTTTTTGGCTGTGTTGGGTCTTTGTTGCTGGGCACAGGCTTTCTCTAGTTGAGGCAAGCGGGGGCTACTCTTTGTTGCGGTGCGCGGGCTTCTCAGTGTCGTGGCTTCTCTTGTTGCAGAACACACGCTCTAGAGTGCAGGCTCAGTAGTTGTGGCACACAGGCTTAGTTGCTCCATGGCATGTGGGATCTTCCCAGGCCAGGGATCGAACCCATTTCCCCTGCATTGGCAGGCGGATTCTTAACCACTGCACCATCAGGGAAGCCCTGAAAATATACATTTTTAATGATAGCAGTATTTGCCGGCAAACGTGATAAAATAGTGTTCCTAAAAAAAAAAAAAAGTACAGGAAAGGGCTTCCCTGGTGGCGCAGTGGTTGAGAGTCCGCCTGCCGATGCAGGGGATGTGGGTTCGTGTCCTGGTCCGGGAAGATCCCACATGCTGCGGAGCGGCTGGGCCCGTGAGCCATGGCCGCTGAGCCTGCGCGTTCGGAGCCTGTGCTCCGCAACGGGAGAGGCCACAACAGTGAGAGGCCCGCGTACCGCAAAAAATATATATATATATAGTGTTCCTATTAGTGTGTGTGAAAATGCGCGCAGGAATTTCAGAAAGCCCTGGGCACAGGTAGCGCCTGTGGGTCGACTGCGTGAGCAGAAGGTACACAAGACTGCACAAAGGTGACCCTCAATGTGACAAAACCAACAGAAACCCCCTCAAAGGAAGAACAAGGAAAACACGCTTACAGAAGTCTCCTATCGCAAAGAACCATGTTAATCGTTAGGCAGGCAAAGAAAAGGTAACATGTGTGTTCCGTGATCACAAATGCACATGCACACTGCTACAAGTGCATAGAAAACTCTGGAAGGAAATACGTAGAGATGGTCAACAGTAACCACTGAGGGCTTGGAGGGCCCCGGCAGGTCCTGAGCAAGGTGCTCGTGCATCTCATTCAATCCTCACAGCATCTGCCGAAGCAGCTGCTGTTGTGCCATTTGGTGAAAAGGGAAACTGAGGTGCAGTGAAGCCCCCAGTTCGCCTGTGGTCACACATAGACCCAGGTCTTAAAGCCGGGTCATTCGAGCCCCCAGCCAGCTCTCAGCCACTGTGCTACGTGGCCTCCCCCAGAGCATCAGCTTTCACTAGGGAGTGGTGAGCAGAAACAAACTTAATTTAAAAGAAAATGCTGGCAGAAGACTGGAATTGGCCATGGAGCTGTGCCGGGCAGGAAGTCAACTGATATCCCATTATGCACCTTTTGTACCTTTTAAAATGTTCTATCGTGATATATTATTTATTTCCAAAAGATTAAAATCTTGGCCCTCCTGGTTTCAGAAGGCTTAGAAGGTTTAAGTGGGCCAGTGTATGTACAGGCAGAATCCTCCTCGCGTTCAGAGGCAGGAACCTCAAAACCCCTTGCTCATTCCTCGAGTCTTTTCGTCCTCAGCTGTCTCTAGCCAAAGCCTGTGCACACGGAAACCAGCTCGGACTGGAAGCGAAAGCCTCCAACGAGATAGTCTGCCAGCTGTTCCAGGCCTCCCACGCTGTCAGTAAGCAGAGGGTCTTCTCTGTGCAGAAGGGACTCAATGACACAATGAGGTGAGGGGTCCGAGGCAGAGCGACAGCCGTCTCCGCATGACAGGGTCTGTCGGTTGTTTCAGCTGAGCCTCCTGTCACAGGGCCCCTGCGTCATCAACCCCACTGGGATCCGTGTGTGTGTGTGTGTGTGTGTGTGTGTGTGTGTGTGTGTGTGTGTGTGTGTGTGGCCGTTGAGCCTGTGCGTCCGGAGCCTGTGCTCCGCAACGGGAGAGGCCACAACAGTGAGAGGCCCGCGTACCGCAAAAAAAAAAAAAAAAAGCCCTGTCTTTAGTTGGGTGATGCAAATGTTCTTCCCTAAGCAGACATTCCAGGTGATTTTCTGGTTTGCACCCCGTTATGGTCTCCCCACCCGCCACCCCCAGATGGCAGAGCCCAGAGCTGTCCAGCTGCTTTAAAGGGAGGAGGAAAGGAGAAGGAAGGACACTGATTATCTTTCAAAAATGGTATCATACTCTTGTCATCTTCTATTCCAGGGGAGCTCTTGAACATGGGCACAAATCAGGGTGGTTTGCTGCAAGTTCATAACGGCAAAAACTTGGAAATATCACATATGTGCCTGAATCTTTTATAAACAGCCAACTCAAATCTAGAAATGTTTCCTGGATGACTAAGTAGCAGTTAAACTGAGCTGGAGTAGGTTTGTATTTACTGACCAAGGAAGATCTTTAAGACGTAATGGCGAGTTAAAAAAGCAAGTTGCAGAATGGTAGATAAAGGATGATACTATTTACAACACAGTTGGTCCCCTATGGGGAGCACCCAGCCATGCAAAAGTTTGGAAGTGCACCCCCATGTGACTGCACTGCCCGGGGCGTGCCCTGCCAAGAGACTCCAGCAGCCTTACAAAGAAAATCTATTCGTGGGTTACATGTCTAATAGAAAATGTGTTTAAAGGGGAAATAATAAAGTGTCTTCTGCTGACCATATACTTGGAAGGTGACAAGAGGTAGGGAGCACTGGGCACTGAGGTTTACTGCCAGGCAGGCAGGAAATAAGCACTCCAGCCCCACATGCACCCTCCAGAACTGAGGTTCACGCCACCAGCAAGTGCTGCATCCAGACTCCCGAACGTCACTGTTGGCCCTTGGCACCCCATGGCACATATCTGTTCATGTGGCACACATGGGGGTGCACAGGACAGAGGCAGGGTCCAGGCCCCTGCCCAATTGGCAGCTTTCCTTCTGACACACCTACCCCTTGGGCTGTGTTCCAACCCCAGGTGAGGCAGTGGATTGGCTACTCTCCCCAGTTTGATGCCCTGCTGGACCACATGACGGACAAGGAGACACTGGTCATGTACGCCTAGCTCCGGGGCATCCCCAAGCTCCACATCAGTGCCTGTGTGGACCAAATTCTTGATGATTTACTCATGTACACGTACGCCGACAACCTGGTGAAGACCTACAGGTGAGACTTGGGGCTCCCTCGGCCCTTCCCCCTCCGGTAATAAGATGTGTTGTGGTTCTTCTCAGTGCTGAGGGGTAGGGCAAGGCGTGTCAGCTCCGTGCTTGGGGTAGTTTTGTGGTCCATGCCACTGCGTGGATTTTTGGGAAGGTGGCCTCCCTCCCCTGTAAGAATGGGTCAATGGCCTGGGCTGCCCCAAGGCACAGCTTCCTCTTGGCCCCAGACAGTTATGTGGCTGAGGACGGGCTGATGCACCATTGGTATTATTCTTCCTATCGCTTCACAAAGGGCTTCTGCTTTCTGGTAGACCTGCATTTCAAGCACATACTACCTTATCCCGCTCTGTATGAGGCATCTGAGCTGTTGTTCTGCTGAGAAGCCTGGGGGATTCCTCAGTCTTATGTTGCCAGTGATCCTAACCCAACTCCAGTTAGCTTAAACAAAGCAAGGCCACACATGTCCGGAATCCCAGGCCACCCCTCGAGTTGTGCACAGCGCCCCTGCAGGCTGGCAGCAGTACCCCACTCCCGGGACAGGGAAGTCAGAGGCGGTTAGATGATGTTGCCCTGTCTCTTTCTTCTGTTGACTTCGGTTTCAAGCATGTTTTTGTGTTTCCTTGCATCTTCTGATGATTAAATGAGTTAACACCTGGGATGTTTAGAACAGTGCCTTGTACATTGTAAATGCTATGTGTTCATTAAATAAAGTTAGCTAAAACGGCCCTATGGGGCTTCCCTGGTGGCGCAGTGGTGGAGAGTCCGCCTGCCGATGCAGGGGACATGGGTTCGTGCCCCGGTCCGGGAAGATCCCACATGCCGCAGAGCGGCTCGGCCTGTGAGCCATGGCCGCTGAGCCTGCGCGTCCGGAGCCTGTGCTCCGCAATGGGAGAGGCCACAACAGTGAGAGGCCCACGTACCACAAAAAAAAAAAAAAAAAGGCCCTATGCTCTTACCCCCCTAACATCCATAGAGACCCTCAAAGGAGATTCATGGACCATGTGCTCACCCTGGACCTATGCCTGTGTCCAGGGAAATGGTTTAGATGCTGAGTGGACAGCCAAGTCACAGTGCACCCCTGAGGGAGGGTGGTGGGCCATGTTACTGAATGCCCCACCGTGGGGCGTGAGCACTTTCTTAATAGAGAAGAAAAAAGGGGGGAGGATTGTACTACTGGAAACTTAAGATTGCCAATCACCCAACTTCTCCCCCTCTGCCCCAGCGGTGGCAACAAGCGGAAGCTGAGCACCGGCACTGCCTTGCTTGGAGAGCCCACAGTCATCTTCCTGGGCGAGCCGTCCACTGGCATGGACCCCGTGGCCCGGAGCCTGCTCTGGGGCACCGTTGCGAGGGCCTGCAAGTCTGGCAAGGCCATTGTCATCACCTCCCACAGGTAAAGCCAGGACCGGGACTGAGGGGGGGGTGGGCCGGGAGGGGCTGGGTGGACAGAAGACCTGTCAGCATCTGGTGAAGAGTCTGTGAGGAGAGTCCCCAGGCTCTACCTTGTGGGCCACACCCTGAGCATGGGAATCAGGAACAGCCTGATCTGGGCATCAACACCTTCTCATCTGCACAAGCCTTTGACGTGGATGGTGGGCATCAGCATCTCCCAGCCATTTGTCAGGCCTCCATCCCCTCTCCCCAGCATGGAGGGCTGTGAGGCCTTGTGCACCTGGCTGGCCATTATGGTGCAGCATCAGTTCAAGTGCCTGGGCAGCCCACAGCACCTCAAGAGCAAGTTTGGCAGTGGCTACTCCCTACGGGCCAAGATCTGGAGCGACAGGCAGCAGGAGGCCCTGGAAGAGTTCAAGGCATTCGTGGACCTGACCTTCCCAGGTATGTGCTGCTGTGCAGAGGTCATCTGTGCATCTGTCCATCCCTGACCCCTGGGACGAGGGCCACGATTCCAGGGGCCTGGGCCGCCTTCCCCTGGCCATCCAGCCCGGCCCTCAGGGGGACACTGTGCAGGCAGTGTCCTGGAAGATGAGCACCAAGGGATGGTCCATTACTACCTGCCTGGCAATGACCTCAGCTGGGCGAAGGTGAGCACATACCTGGGCATCAGAGGGAGCACACCTCTGATGTCACCCACTTTCTGGTGTTCTCTCTTTCGGGTGGAAGTCTTATTCAGTGCCACTGCAACATTCACATGGATTTCATAGAAAATAAGAATGTTTGAGTTGGAAAGGACCTCGGATATCAGCTCCCCCCGCCCCCTCATTTCACAGAGAGGTGAGCGGACCCAGAGAGGGGACACCATATGCCCAGGGTCACACAGCAATCCAGGGACCCAGCTGGGCCCTCTGCCTTCTGGCACCACTTGCAGCCAGGGTCCCTTTCCCTAAAATCACAGAGAGCTCAATTCTGTAGGACTGACTTCTTGAGAGGTGGTCTGGGAGCAGCTGAGAGAGGGATGGGCCTTTGGGGGGCTTTGTAACAACCCAAAAGACCCTTCCTCTTTCCAGCCCCTGTTGCCTCCTCTCCCCTTCCCTGTGCCCATCATCTATAGCAGCTTCCTCCTTTCCCACAGGTGTTTGGCATTTTGGAGCAAGCCAAGAAAAAGTACATGTTGGAAGACTACTCAGTCAACCAGATCTCTCTGGAGGACATCTTCCTGAGCTTCACCTGCCCTGTGCCCCCCAACCAACGGGAAAACAAACAAGCGAAGGCAGAACCTGCAGGCCCCTTGTTACCCTTTCCACCTCTCTCTCCACCTTCTCCCCAGCCTCCCTCCCTGCCTCCCTCCCAGCCTCCCTCTCCACCTCTCACTCCACCTCCCACTCCATCTTCCTCCCAGCCTTTCTCCCAGCTTTCCTCCCAGCCTCCCTCCTGGCCTCCCACTCCACCTCCCTTCAGGTCTTCCTCCTGGTCTTCCTCCTGGCCTCCCTCCCAGCCTCCCTCACCACTTCCCTCAAAGGCTGTCTTGCTGTAATAAAGAGTTCCCAGTGCCAGGTTAGCCCAGGTGCACACAGCCTGCCATGGGCTGCAAGGGTTACAGAGGCAACTTGAGGACCCAGTGAGCTCAGCTTGAGGGTGGAGGGGTGGGGGCAGCTCTCTACCAGATTGAGGCCAGTCACCTTAGAGGCCTGATGGAGGACCCAGGTGCATTTCTGTGGAAAAGGATCCCCTCAAGTCCCACCTGGGTGGCTTTCAGCCTCACTGAGACCTGGCCATAGAAGCAGCCTCAGAGGAACAACACCTGCCATGTCCTGTCAGGAGTATGGAGGCCTGGGGGTGACCATGGTTGTAATGATGCCGTACTTCTGAAGGTAGGAAGAGAGAAGAGATTGACAAGTTTGCAAACTTAAAGCACCATTTTTCAATATTTGGATTTGTGGGGCTCCATTTGTTCTCTGCCCTGGCCCACACGAATGTTAGGGGTGAGCCTGTATGTGGCCCTCCGTCAACCCATGATGTGGACATGATTATTATCCCATTGCCCAGAAGAGTAAGCTGAGACTTAGAGATATCCAGCAACTTTCCATGGTCAACAGATGGTAGAGCCAGGATTCAACTCAGGCAGAAGTTTTCAAAGTGGAGTCTCTGACCAGGAGCATCCACATCATCCAGAAACTTGTTAGAAATGCAGATTCTTAGGCCCCACCCCAAACCCATTGAATCAGAAGTCTGGGGGGTGAGGACCAGCAATCTGTGTTAACAGGTGCTTCTGATGCAGCTCAGGCATGAGAAGAACTAAGCCAAGCCTGTGAGCTCAGACCATCCGGCCTGAGTGCAGATGGATGTGGCCGTGTACCTTTGTCCGAGAAGTGCCCTGCCCAATAGCCTTTCTCCCTGCAGCATGGTCACACCCGCCCCTCTACAAAGCCCCATTCGGCTTCTCCTTTGCAGGTAGTTCTCTCCCTCCCTTCTCAGCTCAGCTCTGGGAAAGTGGTGTCTACCATCCCTGCCCACACTCCCTACCTCCCCTCACCACTCACCAAAAGTACAGCGTTGTCACATGCCTGGCTGCCACACCCACTCCATCCATTTTTCCTGTGACTTCTCTGAGGCATCTCAGTGTCCCCTGCCCCCTTCTCCCCACTGCACCAGGCCCCCCATGGCCCCTCATCTGCCTCCTCTGTAGGCTCCTCTTCCTTTCTCTCCGAGTGGGGGATGCCTCAGGCTCCCAGCCTGCTTCACTTTTCCTTACTCTCCCCTCTGCACCCTGCTACCCTTGAGTTTCTTTCTCATTCACCCCAGGCCTTCAACTGCCATCTTATTCCAGTCAGGAACTTGCCTGAGCTCCCAAAAATCTACTCTTCCAGTGAGTTCTCTCACCTTCCTGAAGCCCAATGGGAAATGGGCTCTTCTCACACCTTCTGGGAGTGGCTCATCACCCCTCTGAGCCCAGGGGCTCTTACTGCCAGGGCAGTGGGTGGGGGTGACGGATGGCATGGCTGCAGCAGAGCAAAGAGAAGAACGCCTATTTCCTGATAAACAAGAAAACTTTACCTCTGAATAAATAAAAAGAGTGGTAAGGACATAGGAGCAAGATAGAGGACAACTGAGAGACTGGTCAGGGTGCCACTTGGACTCCACAGACACGCAGTGTCACAGGGGAGCGAGAGCGTGACTTACTCACTGGTGAAGCCAATGCCACCAAAATCTAACACAGAGAGTGTACCTCTGCCCTGGGGAGACCATCAACAAAGAAAGTAACAGTGCAGGGGGAGGACAACAAAGTACCAAATTGGGAAACAGTAGCCTATGGAAACAAAGGTGAGGTGAAGAAGACTGAAAACCCTTAGGGGTCCTGTGGATTCTCCTGTCCTCTGGTGTGGGAACGTGGGGCATCTGGGGAGCAAGTTCCAAGCTTGCTCTGCTCTACCCACTTCTCTTCCCATGCACATCACCCCTGCCCCTCCTCCACCCCCAGCTTCCAAGGCCTCATATCCCATGCTGTGATCATCCGTTCGTCTCCTGCTCCAGACTGGCATGGAGCCTTGGCACCATGGCTCCTCTGTGTGTTCAGCTGCTGAGCACAGACCAAGTACCCTGAAGGGGTTCAGCGAGTATAAGTGGTAGCGGGACAGAGTGCTGTCTGAGGCTGTGGGGAAATGGGAGAGGAGAGTCTTGACCCAGATTCCCCGGCTTCTCCAGGAAAAGCCACTCTGTCCTCTTCCATCAAACACTTCTCCCAGGAGACTGCATTTCTTTCCTTGTTCGAAGGTCTCATGAAAGAGGTGGGATGTGAGCTGGTTGCAGAAAGACAGACTGGGTGGGCACTGCCTAATACCTGAGTAAACAGAACGCTCAGCTGTGGCTGAAAGCAGCCAGTAAAGCAAGCAGGTGTGCACTTCTATTTTAGTTGGGCTCCCAGGTGACCACGAGGAGACATTGGGGACTGACAGGGGACGATATCTAGTCCAAGTGAGAAGGTGAGGGCTTGCCCTGGGCAGGGATGGAGGAGGGGTCCAGGGTGAGCCACGTTTCAAGGGAGGAAGGAGTCAAACGTGTTGGATGAGTCAATGAAGATTTCGAGCACCAGGTCTCTGAACTCCACTTTCTGCATTACGATCTATGCCAACAGCGACTCGGCCACCGAACCAGGGGTCTCCTCGCCTGAAGCAAGGGCTGGAAGAAGGGCGTGCGGCTTCGGGGTGCGGGTCGGAAAGGTCAGGGCCAGCCTCGGTGAGGCGCAGCCCGCGGGTACCGGCTAGCCTAAGTCCCCGCAGGTAGAAGACCACGTCGGGGTCCCCGCTCCGATACCCTGGGCTCGGAGGCGCGGCCGGTCCGCTCAGACCTTCACTGACAAACCATTGCACGCCGTGGCCTCCGGTCGCCGGGACCTCTTGCCGCCGAGTCAACCACAAGGCCTAAGCCCAGAACAGGCCAGGTCCACGCGGGCCGGAGCAGATTCAGAGACGCTCCTGCAGCCAGGCCCGGAGCCACGCTCCTTAGGGACACTCGCCAGGGCCGGGGAGGCGGGGCGGCCGCGCAAGCTCTACCAATCAACAGCCGGCGTTCGAATTCGCATCCTGGCGCGGCCAATCGCGAGCGTCCGAGCCTGAGTGGGGGGGAGGGGGCGGGGCCCGGGCGAACAGTGGCGCGCGCCCCCCCGGGCGGGCCAATGAGAGCGCCTGGTGCATTTGAAAACTCCGGCGGGCGGCGGGCGGGTCTGCGCCTGCGTGGGGAGTCGCGCTCCGGGCCGGCAGGCGGCACTGGCAGAGATATCGGCGACGGTAGCGACGGTAGCCACGGTTATGGGGAGCGGAGGCGGTGAGCGCTGGGCGCGGGGCGCGGCGGGGCGGCCTCGAGACCTTCTGCCCGGGCTGCGTGTCTTCCCGGCGGCGCCCGCTCGGCGCGTGGTTTAAATGCCCGGGAGCGCCCTGCTCCGCGTGAAAGCGGTGAAAGCGGCGCGCGGGGTCTGCCACCTGTCGAGGGCCGTGAGCGCCGCTCAGGTTTCCGTGGTTATTATCGTGGCTGTCCTAGAGCAAGGGGATGAGAAAAATGCGGTAAAACGCAGGGACCGGTCGCCCTGCGTGTACGCTTGGCTTTCGCAGCATGTTAATTGATGATGGGAAGACCCAGGTGAAGAGCGAGGGGAGGGGGGCAGGAAGAAGCCCTGAGGAGGGAGTCGTGCGGGTGGGAGAGCAGCCACCTCCTGTCGGGACTGGAGGAAGGAACGGGTGGGAAACCAGGTGAATTGTAGGTGATGGGCTCCTCCTGCCTCAAGCTTCTATGTCGTCTGCTTAGAGTCAGCAAAGACTTGCTGAAGTTGAAGTTGGAAGGACCTCCTGTGGGGAGAGAGGACACTGAGACTGGCTGGGCAGCTCTGACATCCGCAGAGCTGGGACAGGCCTGGCCTCCAAGTCCACCTTTGGCTTCTCTGCAGGGTGGACCCTCCTAGTTTGGACTTGAAAACCAGACTGTTCAAGTCCACAGATCCTTATTAACATTATGCATTTTAGTCCTGTGTGCAGATAGAAGCAAAGAGATCAGTAAGGGTCAAGGCACGTCCCTGAGAGTGAAATGCAAGGCTAACCATCATCAGCGTTGGCTGCTTTTTCCCCCTTCCTGGTTGTCATCTGGGCTCTGGATCAGAAGGTTTCCCAATAGCCAGGTTACATGATTACTACTCACCATCAATGTTTATTGAATATTTGAATGAATGATGATGTCTTCTGTACCACTACTGCTCCTTTATTTAATCTTTGTTTAGGACTGTAAATATGCCTGGGGCAGAGGACAGTAACTGTTAAATCATGTTCAGATGTAACTTTTCATATCAGCACAACTCGTTTCCAACACATCACTTAGACCATTCTGATTTTTTTTCTTAAGTGATCCACTGTAGGTGTGCCAAGTGTTTCTGTTATCCTACAAAGCGGAGAATAAGAAGGAGACCCCGAAACCTAACGATCTTGAGTCTCCCTGAAGATGTGCTCTTTCATATCCTGAAATGGCTTTCTGTTGGAGACATCCTCGCTGTCCGAGCTGTAAGTTGTCAGATGAAAATAGTGTCAGGCCTGGCATCATTGGTTATATTGTACCATGAAGGCTTCGTGTCTTAAATGTCAGAACAAAAACTTTGGCTACAAATGAGGGTAGAGGAAACAACGGTGATATTGGTAATAGATGCCTAAGGTTGTTCTGATTGCAGGAAAGCTAAAACGTAGGACAGCAAGGTTTGAGTCTGCTCATTGTAATGTTTATTTTGACAGAGAAAATACCCTTTTATGGCAGTGAAATTTGTATCCCTCAAGAAATAAGATAGCATTAAGAAGAAAAATAGTATGTTCTTGAGGACAAAGCCCATGTAATATTCAGCACTGAAAGGGACTCTGGGAGTTATTTTGCAGATTTCGGAACTGAAGCCTCACTTTGAGTGATTTAACCAAGGGCATACAGCAAATTAGTGGGGGAACACCAGTAAGAACCCACTTCTCTGACTCCCAAACCTGCCTCCATTGCGTTCATAATATCCATGGGTGCTGAATTTCCAATGGCAGTGGAAGCTTTAGCACTTAAAATGCTCACCTGTGCTCAGGGCCCCCTGCCTGGGCACTTCCTGCTATCACCCAGGACAGAAGTCCTACCTGAGGCTGCTGTCATGTGTTTCAGTCTTTTCTGAGAGCCCCCATTGACCTGCAGGCCTCAGCTTTGCTCCCACTAGCAAGACCCTAAGTAGAGGAGCTCAAAACAGATTTCTGACCTACCTGTTCCCATTAGAGTTGATTTCCCTGATCCTTGCAGGTATTATAGCATTATATCCCCTTTCTCAGCCTAGGTGCTTATTCCCCCTTCCAGGACCACTGTCCCCATCT